CATTGAGCGAAAAAATGCTAACTAATGCTAACGCTTTTTTACACAGAACTCACGGTAGAAATGCCCTTATTACTATCTTAACTGCACAAACAAGATATACGATTTAAAGCTGAGACTCCACAGATGTAATGTCATCACTGTCCGACCTCGAATTCCTGGAGCTTTCAGCCAGAAAAGAGAAAGTAAACAACATCCGGTTTCAAAAATATTACAATAATTACGTCTTACCTTTTTTGATTTGTGATCAAAAGTTGTGTTCAACGGAATAAAAACGCCGCTCAAGGTTAATCCAATGTCTTTGTGTCACGTAGAATTTTTTACTGATTTACATCATCATATTTATGGCATACTGGGTATACAGTTTTGCCGTCCAGGCTTGTACTTTCAGATATGTTTCGTTTGCTTCTCTATTACGTCCGCAATGGTAATGTTTACATGGATTTGGGAACTGCCCATCGATTCTATTGGATGTAATGGTTAAGAAAAAGGTGTAAATCACCCAAATTGACCAATGGGTTCCAGAGATATGGTCCTGCGTAAAGTATAAAGAATGCCAGCCAGCTTAAGTACATTACGCAGGAGACTTTACTTATTGTTTACTACGTAAGGGAGCAGGAATTGCAGCAGGACCCGCTCTGAGCACGGAGCGGACAGCAGATAACGGAATTGCAGTTTTATTGCTTATAGATTATCAGAACATTTCAAAGGGGACACAGCCACATTGGATATTAACCTATGGATTAACTACATCATCGTGTTAATGCCATTGAAGACCAGTTTAGACCAGACAAAGAGGAAGGTAAGCCATGTTAGCTTAACGCATTAGCGCTAGCGCCATTTGTTTTGATGTACGTTTTTGTTTATTAAAGTCGCGAGTTTGTATCTTTCAGTGTTGAGGTGGGCACCGTTAGATTCTGTGTCTTTACGATCATAAACAATGTGTTGGATGTGCAGCTAGGATAAGTAAAGAGTGATTTTCGGTGCAGTAATAGGTTAGCATTTTTCGCTCGGGGCTAATTCAGAGGCTCAGAGGATAACAGAGTAGGCCTATGTTTTATTTATTTGTATTTTATTTTTTTTCACAACAGTTGTATTTGGATGGAATGAATACCTATAGTGATAATTCAAAATAATAAAATGATTTTTACAGTGAAAAAGTTCAAATGGAACTGATGGTTCCCAAATTACCCAGAGGTGAGTCCGCTTGGACTTTATTTTTCTAAACCTCTCTAAAAAGGTCAAATTTCACTTGTTTTGCATCAATCTTGATACAGGGTACTTATTATATGTTATAGTTTGGATTCCTAAAGCTTTTAGTCTACTAGCCCATCATTCAAGGGTGGTTTTCACTATAAGTAATTATTATTTTTTAGGCGGACATTAGCATTTACATGTTTTTACTGTGTTCCATCTGAATTTAGTTTAAAATAAAACATCTATATTGATTCTGACACGTCTACATCCAACTCACAGATGTAACCTTGCTTTGAGAGAAAAGATTATTCATTTGCCCCTTTTAGAAGTGAAGATATAGTCTTTGTTGTGTTAGTGGCATTTTCGAGCCTGAAACCTGAAAAACAGGCTCAGGGCTTAAGAGGTTAAGCTGTGTACTTCTAGCCAACAGGTATGTTAGCATTAATTAGTTAACAGTAAATAAATACAGGAGTAACCGATGTACTCCAGCCTGATCCATATAAGGCTAACCTACGTCTGTTGCTCCCGTTCTGCACGTCTTACGTTGCTTAAGGCGAGACACCCCAGGTGAATAGGGTAATTTTTTTTACTTAAAGATATCAACTAGAAAGTTAATTACTTACAATAAGGCAATTGTTTTTTGTATTACAAGTTTTCTGAAATAGCATGTTTAAATATGCAAATGAGCCATTATTTCATTAAATATGTACACATTTTAACACATTTCAGGAACCGAAATCTGAACTTTGGATAAAGCCAGGTTCACAATTCTTGTTTCATTTTGTAGTCATATTAGTATCTAAGGCTTTCACAGAAGGGATATTGGATATCTCTTTCTATCACTCCATAAATCAGAAAACACTGTCAACAGCCCTAAAATATCAATTCCGCCATGTTTTTAGGTATCAATCAATCAATATTTATTTATATAGCCCAATATCACAAATGTTACATTTGTCTCAGTGGTCTTCACAGTGTGTACAGAATATCAGTATGACAATACGACACCCTCTGTCCTTAGACCCTCACATCGTACAATAAAAAACTTCCGGAGAAAACCCACAGTTTAAAGGGAACAATGGGAGAGGTATAAAATGTTATATAATTCAGGCTATAAATGATATATGAACAAACCCTTCTGTAAAAGCCTTCATAATATTGAGAGGAATATAACTGGAAGGTTTGGTGTATGTACGTCAGTGGCGAGCCGTCAGGGCCCTCTGTGAGGGCCTAAGATATTCTAAAAAATAATATTTGAAAACATTAAGAAAAAAACATTTTTTTTTAAATATATTTTTTTATATGTTGTTGTTGTTACATTTTTCATTAGTTTTACCAAAATAACTTGATTTAATTGTATTTAAAATAATATTTCCAAATAAATAAATCCTTCAAATCTGCCTGTTCAGTTTCTGTTAGAATGTGAAGGGTTAAATGCCGTCTCTGCGAGTTATGTGAAGACGGGAGAGCTTGTTGGTCCCTCTCTACATTCACAGAGGGCCAGCTATAGTAATTCAACGAGAGAGTAATGTCAAATGACAGTACAATTGACCAATCATATCTTCCCTCTAAATGGGCGGGCTTTATTTTCGCGGACTTTATGACAAGTTCCGCCCGCTGTGAGGTCTATGCAAGTGGTGCAGTGACGCATCCTATAACCCGGAAGTAAGCTTCGCTCGGATTCCCTCGACAGGAAGCAATGGCATTTCTCCATAGGATTTTGGAAAATAGCTCGAAATAAGGTCTGTGGAAAACGAACCTGTTAGATAAATGCACGTTTGGTTCAGCCGGATAATATCCACATGTCTACCCTACTTTTATTATCTTTGAATCATAAATCTAAACGAGAGATTTATGATCGATAGATTTATAATTAGCATAAGTTCGTTCATGATGGCTCACTTCAGTGATAGTGATGACATCGTTGCGAAATTATTAACCTAGTCATTTTCAAGATTGAGTTACAATGATAAACTGGAGTGGCAAAGGATCAGCTGCATGACCCGCCATCAAGTGCTTCATCCAAAAGGAAAGGAGGATGGACTTTGTGTTTAAGTGATTTGATCATCAAAGGTAGGCCTAAGTCATTTTCAATGTGGGCCGCCGTGCCGACTTAATTCATTTGCAATTGTTACTTGGCTGTAAGTAAGGGAGCCTGTCATGATATCTAAATGGTGTTGTTTTGTGTGGTAGAGGGTCGCTGTCATTGATGCGTTTTGCACCCCGGGCCGCTGTTTTGATATTCCGCTGAAGTATACGCTGTGACGTAATATCTCTTCTTTTTTTTCGAGGGAAGGGGGGTCAGAGGGCCTAGCTATAAAAGTCACGGCTCGCCACTGATGTACGTGTTACTGAAGTGGAAATTCCAAACTCAGAGTAGGAGAAAAAACTCATTTTGAGAAAACGACCTTTAAAGATTGCAATGTGTTAGAAATTAAAATCAATATTTTATGGCATCATTTAGTTTAAAACATACCGTCAGCATAAAAGCTGTTTTATTCTGAAAGAACCAGAAGTTCTCGCACAATGTCTGATGCCAAGCTTTTATTCTGAAAATCCTTCATCTCCGGTTAGCATTTAGCATGTGGCTAATATTCCTTTTCCTACCAAGGTGAATATAGAAGTGAAATGACACGGAGTGTTGCACACCGAAACCTGCTGATTTTAACACTACATCTATAGACGTTGAGTTATTATTATTGCTGAATATTAAATAAAGGTACAGTTTATTTTAATACGTTTTATTTACAGACGTGGGTAGCATATGACGACTTCCGGGGCTACCGTAAATGATAACTGTCGTAAAGTATTTCCAGTATTATTAAAGTATCGATTACAGCCGTTAAAATGCAATAAATGAAAAGTGATGAAAGAGAATATGAGGAGAAGAGGCGTGTTTAGTTATGTATTGAATGTACAATGTCTGAGTCCTCTGTTATGCGCAACAACGGACATTGAAGATCGGAGGCGGGCGGACCCCCTACGTCACCACAGCCATTGAAGAGGAGGAGCCAAATGAGATATATAGTCAGGTGACAGAGCTTTGTGGAGCCTCTTCTGCACGGCCGCAACTGCGAGAGGGAGCTGCAGCTCCTCTCTCTCTCAGAACCATATCCTGCTTGTTAAATTACCGCGCCATTTAATTAAAGTACCCATTTGAACCTTTCTCAGAGACTCCATTGTCTCATACTTTTAAAGCTTCTCTCCAGGACGCGAGAATAACGAATACTCTAATAAGTGTGGTGCTACCTAAACCCTCCTGTTCTTTGGATGATAGCTTGCGCCTCGACGCACTCCGTGAAGGTATTTCATGTTCGGGGTCATTTGTTTTTTGTATAACCTTGCTTCGTGCAAGTGACAATTGTTGTCGTCTTCTCTGTGAACGTTTTTTTCGCCGTTCTTTTGCCATTTTGAGATATACATTTCTAGCGGAAAGCTAACTAGGAAGTGTTTTAGCACACCACGTGACGCATCTGAACGAATCACGTTGTCAGAAATTGACACCAGCCAATGAGATTTAGTTTCTTGGTTTAAGACCCCTTTGTACTTTCACGATTGGTTGCTGATACAAAGGAAATGACCATATTTGGATCTGATGAGATTGTGCAGGAGAGACACAGCTTTCCAACGATATCTCTGTTGACATAGTGCACACAGCGGTCGCGGTACTTTATGTTACGTTAGAACAGTGGCGAGCCGTCAGGGCCCTCTAGGCCCTATGTGAGGGCCTGAGATATTCTAAAAAATATTTGAAAACATTAAAAAAAAAAAAAATTTGAATATTTTTTGTTGTTAAATGTTTCATTAGTTTTACCAAAATAACTTGATTTAATTGTATTTAAAATGACATTTCCAAATAAATAAATTCGAATCGGCCTGTTCAGTTTCTGTTGGAATGTGAAGGGTTAAATGCCGTCTCTGCGAGTTATGTGAAGACGGGAGAGCTTGTTGGTCCCTCTCTACATTCACAGAGGGCCAGCTATGGGCTAGTTGCACAAGATGGCGTCTATCAACTTCTGGCGGCTGGTTGTGCGGTTGTAAACTTCCGGTCTACAGTAGAGCGGTAGAGGGAAGAGCGATAGATAGCGTATAGATAGCGAGAGAGATAGCGTATAGATATTATATAGGCACTATTTTACACTCGATGTCTCCAAGACCTACCGAAGGTTAACATCAGTGATGTACATCGGCTGGTACAAGCGACAGGCTCAGCCCCGAGGAGCAAAAGAGAAAAGGGGTTCAAGATGTAGCTACATATCCAGCTACGTCGACAATTATGAAGGTAAGTGACAAACAAAGCTGCAGTTACTGGCTAACTTTGACAAATTGACAGTCTTGATTCAGTGTAAAGCGTTTTAATGATGTACTATTACGTTTTTTTGGAGAACATGAATGATGTCCAATTCCCCACAGTTTCAAACAAAGATCTACCTTCAGTAGGGTTGCCAACTTCCAGAAATGGAAAAACACACAGGCACGCAGCCAGACACACTGCATTGCGTGCAAACAGAAAAATATTTTTTATTTTTCCCTTTACCAGGAATCCGGGACAAACAATGCCCCTTTTGGCTCAAATACGGGACGTCCCGGCTAATACGGGACGGTTGGCAACCCTAACCTTCAGGGAGAGTGAGCATCAGGGCTAGCTGTTACAGGTCCATGAGAAAGCATGAAAAGCCTCACGATCTCAGAGTAGGGAGGAAAATAATACATTAGCTCACATCAACTGGTAGCTAGCTATGTGTGTGTAGCATGAAGGGGCTACAGATTTATTTTCGTTTTGTAACCCTCTCGTGTAAAATGATAAATATATTAGCTAAACCCAAACTCATCAAAGATTCTTAATGAGAGGTTGAAAACCGTCTCTGCTTTCATGGAAACCCCAGAAACTGGTTGTGACGGCTGCTGTTCTTTACTGAATGGTTAGTATAATCCATGTAGGGTCCAATTATTTGTATTGGCCAGTGTTAGGTAAGTGCTGGTTTTGTACCCTACATCTATGTTAAGCTGTTCAACGTTCTACTAACACTATTTTATGTAGTTATAATATAAGATAATACATTGAGAGAGCTGAGACAGGCTATACAAGCGTATCTGTTTGAATGTCCTTAAATTACAGTATTCCAAACAGCAGAACTTCTGTGTATGTGATGTGATGACAACCTGACATGGTTTAGCCTTTTCCCACACCTACTACTACTGATCAGCCTGCTCTCAGCTTTCTCATTTGTCTGTGTTGTATACAAGCAGTGTCCTAAATGTAAAATGACTGACATTTTGTTTTAAGAACTGTTCACCTGTGGAGATTGCAGTGGCAAAGTGTTCCTGTGTAGCTGGAACAGCACTCTGCAACCACAATGTTGCACTGATGTTCCAGACCGCACACTACTCCACACTCAACCTGGCTGCTGTCCCCCCTGTCCTCAGCTGCACTGAAACAGAGCAGCGATGGCACAAGCCAAGAACCATGGTAAGTACAGTATGTGTTCACAACCAATCCACGGTTTAATGAGTATTTCCTTTGTGCCAAGAGCTGATCTAGTATGTTGCATCAATGACCTTTTCAATTAATTTGACAATTCTTTTGTGTAATTAATAGGGTGTGAAACCAGGCAGAGTGAGTGACATGGTGTTCACTTCCACTAAGCCAAAGCAGTTTACAGTTGCTGACGGTGTAAGGTAATATATATTGTCCTAAGTAATTGTATGTATCCTGCTACAAACTTTGTGATTGTTGTCTGAGTGTAAAATTGTTCTTAAAGTCCTAATTATCATATAAACATGTTCAAAGGAGTACACGTTACAAGGCCGTACGGGGGAGCTGCCAGACCCAGATGTCCTCAAAGTCAGCGAGGCATACAAGGACTTCTCAGCAGATATCGCACCACGAAAAAAAAAAAACGAATGGCTCACTACTCAACTCAACGACTAACACTCTTTCAGAGGATATGTTGGAAATGCACACATTATATATATTTTTTGCATCTACTTTCTGGATATTGTGCATCTGTTCATCTGTTATATAAACTAGCATTACTTAAATATGCAGAGACTAATTGAAATGTTTAAATATGTATTTTCCCCCCCGATGTAACATCAACCTATGTTTTGTAAAAGTTTATAAAATTAATCTGTAAAATGTTATCATATTGTGGATTTATTAAATTATGTATTTTCCTATGTTATTTATGTGTGCGTTTGTTTTGAGGATATAATTCATTAGTACCTAAACATAGTATGGTATAACTGCTTTTTGTAATGAAATACACAATTGGTTTGGGAGCACGAAATCTTTTAATCGTTGTTGCCCAGGCTTGCCCAAATGAATGGAAACGTATCTCCCGATTATAACATTGTGTAACTTGCTGCTGTTAAATACCGTCAAACTATGTGCAATATGTGCTTTATGTGCAATATATACTTTATATACATATGCCATCTTTAATAACTGTAATATATACCGGGCTGCTAAATCCTAAGAACTGCTACAGGATTTGATTTGTAGATTTGATTTGTTTTTGATCTGTATTTTTGAAAATTATGTAACTTTTTATCTTTTTTTTAGCATATTGTTTATTATATTATAACTTAGTACATTTTAACGCATGTAAGATATTCAACACTAAGCTGTCTGTGGCTCTTTCCTGCTTCAACGCTGCAAATGTCCCCTCTGTGGGACTAATAAAGGTATTCTGATTCTGATAACGGGACGAATTTGTACAAAGGGGCACACAGCAATGTAGTGCCGACTTTCTTCCACGCTGGAAGGCCAATCGCTTTTCTTTACCCTGAAATCCGCTCATTCTTGCTCTCGGTGTGACATAACAAACTGTCAAACTGTCAAAACTCGGTACTCAAACCGGAAGTACTCAGCCGCACACCCAGCCGCCGGAAGTTGATAGACGCCATCTTGTGCACAGAGCCAATAAGTCAAATGACAGTACAATTGACCAATCATATCTTCCCTCTAAATGGGCGGGCTTTATTATCGCGGACTTTATGACAAGTTCCGCCCGCTGTGAGGTCTATGCCAGAGCCCTAGAGAGATAAGAGTTACGACACTCTTTGATGTCGCCGCCAGCCGGTCACGTGGTTTATGTATGCCGGGATAGTTCCAAACGCACTTCCGTGGCAATGCTTCTCTATGGCAAAAACAGCACAAACATGGTCAAAATAGTCATAGATTAAACCAACGCTGTTATTTTTTAAAGATTGCTTTCATATTTACATGATGTGGTTACACTTTGTATGGATTGGCACTATTTACAAGTTTCGTTATTTAACGATATTTTGAGGGAAAAGTGTGGCAGCACAAGCAGGCTATGTTGCTGTCACTGCCAGGGCAGTCACGTCCGTAGTATAGTTGCGCTGCGCTGTCATGTTCTTCTATGGGACAGACAGACAGCAGCGATATATTGCATTATTGAATGGTACATATATATAAAAAAAACACACACACCCAAGTATTTTTTCAGCTGTAATTGCATTATTGCATACTTTTTATTGACAGTTTTGCATTTGGAGAGGCAGGGTGACAACGGAAAGCTTGGTAGCCTATTACTTAGATACGTTTTACATTTTTGGAGGGAAACCCTTGTGTTCATGTTAGCATGGGTAGCATGATCATGTTAAGACTATGAATATCATTTTACCACAACAGTGGATGAACAATTGATATATGTGTTTGAACAAGAACAACAGGAAGAACAAAGTAAAAGGGACGAACACATGTGTGAACAAGTATTAAGAACAGTGTATGGAAAAAGTGATGTGATGTGGGATGTGTGTTAGAACAAAACAAAGTCAAATGAATGAGAAGGAGAACAAAGAGGGTTAGGGTTCAACAGAAAAAGATTAATTCAGCCAAAAAACACAATTAGATGAATCTAAAGTGTAAAACAATCTTCAACACAGACCAAATGAGTGCCCTTGGACAACAAAACATATGGTGGGGCAACGATAAATACAATTGAGAGAGTGGGAGACTAAAAATGATTACTATGATAAATATTCAAACTATTTACAAAACTATTTACAGAAGCTCCTGTTGAACCATGGTTCAACAGAGCAACAAAAACAGGTTTGTCAACAATAAAAATGATGAGGCCACTTTGCCAGGGGGAGGTGATCCAGCGACGAGACAATAAAAAGAGAAACTGAAAAAAGTTTAAAAAATCTTTACAAACAACTATTTACAAAAAAGCAACTATTTACAAAAAAGCAATACTATTTACAAAAAAGCAATACAGAGCTCTAGGGCATCCAGGAGCCTAACCATTTTGAAAAAAAACAAAAAGGTTCCTTTGTGAAAGGGACATCCTCTTCATCTGTTTCCTGGGCCCTAAAAAGCAGAGCAAGAATAGGAACAGTGGTGAATAAGGGGAGAGAATACAGTTGGGAGCAGACTGAACAGAGGACATAGCAATATTCATGTTAAAATGTTTGCACTACAAATATTATGGCACTTTCGTTTATATTGCATTTTAATAGATCAGTTGTCATACCATGGTTGGATGTGCAGCATTTGGATGCTCTAAACGATCCGAGAAGGGGTTCCAGATGTATGGCTTCCCTAAGGACATAGAGCGAAGGAAGAGATGGATGGCAATAGTCAACAGACAAAACCTGTGTCTGACAACAACAGCAGAAAACTCTGTCATGTAAGTAATGTTCACAGAGGTGACATGACTTGTTAACATTTTAAAAGGCATCATATTTCCAAGTGTAGAGAATTATGACTCTTCAATGACATTGGAAGTGTGCAGTGGAAAGTGATCAAACCTACAGGTACACTTTGAAGACGACCAATATATTGGCAACAAATCAGGAGGAAATTTGAGGTTGAGGCCAGATGCTGTTCCAACAGTATTTATACATCGGCCTAAGCCGAAAAGGAGGAAATCCACGTCAAGGAGTATGCCTCCAGCTGTTAATGTCAGGAATGATGACCACACCTATTATGGCACATCAAACATTGGTATGATATATGAAGCTAACAATGTTTCCCATGTTATATAATTCAAGGATAGACTACACTCCTAATGCAACCTTCAGATTATACAGCTTCAAAACTACCAGGGTTCAGGGATTCTCTGAAGACTCATATACCACATGTAGATCATCTACAGATTTCTTCATACTTTAACATTGCCAATAGACGAATTTAGATGAATGTCACTATAGGAGTGTAGTGTACCCTTAAATGACAATAGGTGCACATGTAAAGGCAGCATACAAATATAACAGCAAGATTGCCTTGTTATTGTTATTCAGGGAGATATTGAGGTGGAGTTCCAAGGGAATGAAAGGGACATAACAGACAGAGAGAGTGAGACAGATGTCAGCAGACTGCCAGGGGCCAGTATGTCAGGGGCCGACAATCAAGAGGCCACCTTACCAGAGATCAGTGTGCCAGGAGCCAGTCAGTCAGGGGTCAGCTATGAAGAGGCCAGTTTGCCAGGGTCAGGTGCTCCAGGGACCAGACTGCCAAGGGCCAGTTGTGACCAGGCTCACGTGGAGGATCTAATGAGGCAACTGAGAAGGGAGAGATTACTAAGAAAGAGAGCAGAGAGGGCTCTGGTAAACCGGAAAATGATTAATTCGGCATTAAAAAAAACACACAATTTGATTAATCTAAAGTTTAAAAAAATCTTCAACACAGACCAAATTAGAGCTAGATTACCATCCATCTGATGAGGTTTTCACCCTTGTTCAGAACGTGGAGCAGCTGTTCCGTGTGAGGACGAGCGATTCCCTCATGGAGTCCTCAAATGCAGTGTCACAGCTGGAACAAGAAGCCATGTTGCTGGACAGTAACCTTCCCTCATGCCATGACCTGAAGAAAGAAATCCTCTCAACATACATCAGGCTGAGGTTAAGGATTGCATCAAAGTGCATCAGGGCTGAGAGGAAGGATAAACATAAAGGGTATCTTGGCAGCAAGAATCAGAGTAAGAAGGCAAAGAAGACCCCACAGACCTCTGCACCGAAGGTCATAACATCTAGGCCACTGCCAAACACCTTACTCGTTGCCATCGATGTACTTGGCATCTCCATTCCCGGTCCACCGTCAGCAGCCTCCAGCCTCCTCTTCTTTCAGCAGTCATCACCTGCAGCCGTTGCCAGCACCAGCCTCCTTCAGCAGCAGCACCCTCCAGCAGCAGCACCCTCCTCCAGCAGCAGCACCCTCCTTCAGCAGCAGCACCCTCCTCCAGCAGCAGCACCCTCCTCCAGCAGCAGCACCCTCCTCCAGCAGCAGCACCCTCCTTCAGCAGCAGCACCCTCCTCCAGCAGCAGCAGCAGCAACAGCCATGGCTGACATATGAGGCTGAATAAAAAAAAGTGCTTATTATTTTTTTTAGTGTTTATTTTGTTAAAAATAAACATTTTGGATACAGGACCATGTTTTAGGCTCATCCTTCATTCACTGCTGTAGAGTAGCCTGTTCAGTAGGCTATTATTTTTTTAAGACTGAATAATACATTTGAAGAACAATCATTAAACTAGTGTGTACAAAGGAATCTATCCTAGCATGCCATCAAGCATTACAAAGTAGCGCTAGGCTAGTTGTACAGTACAGATGAGTTAACACGGAACAGTACAAAAAACAACTAAGTACAGTCAACATGTCACATAATGAAATGTTAGTATATCCCAAAATTCAATGAAATCTTAAATGAAATATTTATCACAAACGCCACCTCATTTCTACTAGTGCTAGCAGTTAAGTCATATCATACAGAAAAAGCCGACTAAGGATGGCTGACACGGTCAGGTTCAGCAGATAAAAACCAAAATAACAATAAAA